GCATGAGCATGAGCATGAGCATGAGCATGAGCATGAGCATGAGCATGAGCATGAGCATGAGCATGAGCATGAGCATGAGCATGAGCATGAGCATGAGCATGAGCATGAGCATGAGCATGAGCATGAGCATGAGCATGAGCATGAGCATGAGCATGAGCATGAGCATGAGCATGAGCATGAGCATGAGCATGAGCATGAGTATGAGTATGAGTATGAGTATGAGTATGAGTATGAGTATGAGTATGAGTATGAGTATGAGTATGAGTATGAGTATGAGTATGAGTATGAGTATGAGTATGAGTATGAGTATGAGTATGAGTATGAGTATGAGTATGAGAATGAGTTGAGTACGAGAATGAGTATGGGAAAGAAGATGAGGATGTGAATAAGAATGGAGTTGTATCAATGAACTTGTTTGAAGTACTGTTTGGGCCACCAAGAACGGGTGGGCGTCTAGAGTTTAGGATGTGTACCTGCGGGACAGTAGCCTAACAAGAGGTACCCGCAGGGGCCCACGGGACAGTAGTCTAACACGAGGTACCCGTGGGCGAGATGTGAAAGGCCGTGAAAGGACGGTATCCATAAAAGAGACCTCTAGGAGGGACCTGCGGGATAAGAAATAGGCGCCTTAAGATCGAGTCAATACCGAGTCGTGGTATAAATATGGCTATTAAGACCGGGGTGGCAGACAGTGCTGGGAGCCAACGGGCTGCAACTCGGATAGACAAGGAGCAGGAGTAAGAGTCTGTATGGTGCAAGCATTTTTATTTCGTTTTCTTTATTTGTTAGAACCTCTTTCAGTATTTGAGATCTTGAGTTTTCAAGAATGATCGGTTTTATTTCATTTAATAATGGTTTATGTTAGACGATTTGAGTATTAAATAAAGTATCCTTGGATGAGTTGTGAAATGTGAAGGTTCTAAGTAGGATCCTAGGGACAGAGTTGTTACAGTCTATGTCCTTCTTTATGGGTTTGCCAGAGGAACCAGTGCATGGCTTGAACTGTTTATACGCACCAGAGAATTTCATAGCCATATTTTTAGACTGCTTAAATAAGCATCTAAAAACACATTTTAAAACGCAATAATGTTGAATACAACATTTCACTAACATTGTAGGTAGTCTCAGGGAGTCTACTATGATCATTCTTAAAAGAACATAAATAAATCTATGAGATCGAACAAAAAGGGTCGATATAAAAAAAAAACAATCAGAACGGCAATGTCTTCCTTTTATATTTCTTATTTGATTTATTATTAAACAATTACACATACTCTTAAAACTTTTTACTTTTTTGGATCAAATGCTCCAGTACCCCTGTCCGAGAAATTTTATTCTCAAAATACTCCTACCTGAAATTCACCCCAATAAATTCGAATAAATTTTTATTTAAATAGGAAAAATTAGTAAGAGACCAGAAGACCGAAAGAAACTTGAATAATTACAAGGTAACCAGGGGTATTTCGCAGACCATCGAGACATGAATCATAAAATTTGGCATTTCCGCGCACCAGCAATTATAATTGATGTTGGGATCTATCTTTTCCAATAGAGACATAAAGATATGTGGTTTTTCGTAACCCCAATGACCTGAGGATACCTCAGTAGCAAGCATGTGATTCATCTGATCAGCAAACTCACGTGTAAAAGTAGGAAAGTTGTGAACCAGTCCTCTATCATCAACACTAAATGCTAAGTTGAGCATATCATCAACATACTTGGCCAACAAAAATCTCCTCTCACCAGCAAGACAGATTTTTTACCTTCCTAGATCAAGTAAATGGAGGATAAAAAACTCATACATACCTTGCATGTAAATGGCTTGTGGATTACCGGCTTGGTAGCACTTAAGCATGTATGTTCTGACAGCATTAACCTCATTAATCCAGTCACTGAAGTGAATAAGACCTGCATATTTGTAGAATTATTCTTCTCTGCCAATATGATTGAAAGCGGGTAATGCAACTCTTGCACTACCGAAGTCCCGAAGATGGTTTGTTGCTACCTTAGAGAGAATCTTGTGAAGTATGGAAGGAGGGAGAGAAACCAAGTTAGAGTTCGACATGGTGAGAGATATTTTTTTATCACGTAAATGGAAAGATTAACTTTTTCTTTATTTGGACAAAATGATAAACCCTTTTATAATAGCGATCATCCTCAACAGTGGAGAAGAGATAAGATTGTATTTATTACGGCAGTTAAGGGTGATTTGATGGAGGTCTCGAGAAGGTACGACTTATGACTGCAACAGTCGCATGCGTTGGATTTAAAACTTTGTAAAACTTTAAATGATAAAAATAAATAATTTTTTAAATCTAAGTGAAACCGCTTAGTTAGATTGTCTAAATATATGAAATTAAGAAAACTTTTAACAATTTTGATAAGTGTAACAATTTTGATAGTCTAAATATATGAAACTATGTAATCCTTTAAAAATAAATATATTATTCATTAAGAAAAATAGGGGATAGTAAATGAAGAGTAATTTAGTTTGTGTAATAATGATTTATTACCCCAACTACAAGTTGTAACTCTTCCATTTAAGAGTGATTTGATAGGCAAATGGTGGCTTCCCCTCCACAATATTTAGATTTATTACCCCAACACAACAAGTTGAGTTCAGTAAGAAAGACACAACTTTTCACACTAACAGTCTCATGTTATCATCATTACACTTCATTTAAATCTCGCAACTAAACCATATCATCATTACATTTGCATTCAATTTAAGAAACCCTAAATTTAATCTCCAATCCACCGCATTAAGTTAAGTTAAATTGTCTCCTTTATATCTAAAAACATTTCACCGCAAAGAAAGAATTCATCATCTTTCAAATATGGAACACTACAATACTCTTGGTGAAGTTGTCTATAACGAGAAGGTCAAGCATTGGCGTTTTAGAGTGAAAATCATAAGGATCTATCCTTGATATTCCTATGTTACCGACAAAGGACCACACCATGTTTATGTCCTAGCAGATGAACATGTAAGTGAAAAATCATCATCTCTCAAATTTCTAATAACAACAATGGAAAATAGAAACTCGCTCTTTGAACTTAATTTATGCAGGGAAGCAAGATGGAGATGACCATCTATGATATATATGGAGATAGGTTTAGAGGCCTAGAGAAGTAAGAGGGAATATGGGTGGAAATCTTTATTGTAGAAGTTGGCCGTGCCCATTCAGGTTTCAAGGTAGCAAAATCCAAATTCACACTAACTGCTACTGGCGATACCCAAATCCACATCATTGATCCTCTAAACGATCAGCTTTACTTTGAGTTCAAAGGCATTCATGAAATCCCTCACATGAGCTACAAGGAGAGAAATTTTTCCCATAGATATGAATTCTAACTAATAAATATATTTCATATGTAAGTAACGGAATCAAATATACTTATCTGGTAGATACAATGGGAGTGGTCTAAGATGGAAGCCCATTTTGATGATCCTGAAGGACCAAAGATGGTGTTTTACATAAGGGACAACATGTAAGTATTAAGTAACATATGATCAAAACAAAATGTTTGCATTAGTGTAATTGACTCACCTTGTTTTATCCATCATAGTGAGAGTCAGATAAAATGTGTAGCAACTGGGAAACATGCTTATGCCTTCCAGGAAAGGTTTGAAAATAGGGGAGGTCGTCGACTGGTGATTGTGGTCCTTAAGATGTAGAGGGTCCGTGACTATTTCTGTAAGTGAATTTTGTGCTTATGTGTTCAGGTTTAAATGTGTTAGTTGACTAAAACCTTATCTAAACTCATTTATACAGCTTATTCTGGTCCTATAGAAGAAACCGAGGGAAACTTATCTGACTTCAGGTTCAATCCGCGCTTGCCGGAGGTAGAGGAGTTCAGACAATCAGTCAATAACAGTGACCCTTATGTTCGGAAGTACAGAGCTATAGGGCCTTTAAAAGGTTTTATCTAATGTATTAGTGTTTCTGAAACTTGGTTTGTGATGTTGAACTGCGTTATAATGTATATTAAAAAATGGTTTTCTTAACTTTTGTAATTGTCCAAGTGCGTGCACCTAAGAATAAATTCAAGTTAGCATGAAATCCGTGTTTGTATAACCAGGTCAAAGTTGTGTTAGGTTCTATTTCTCAGTTGTCCAACATCGTAAAAATTTGAGAAACTTTTAAGTTTACCAAACTTCTTAGTAGTTCAACTTAACTTGAAAGTTGGTGTTCGTATAACCAGGTCAAATTTTGTGTTAGGTTCTATTTCTCAATTGTCCAACATTGTAAACATTTGAGAAACTTTTTAAATTGACCATACTTCGTAGTAGTTTAAGTTCGCATAATTTAGGAGAAACTTAGGAAAAAATTAGACAAACATAATGTTTAACTTCGCATAAATTACAAAAAAAACTTAGACAAAACAGAATGATTGACAAAGTCACTAGCTTTAGGAATCACTTGTACATCATAATTCGACCGAGAACTACAACGACAATGATGATACTAACAACACAACATCCTCATATCATTAACTTAGGCATTATTTAGGGACTTTCACTGCTTATTGTTGCTTTGAGCAATTGAACTTCTTCTTCTAGCATTCGAACTTGGTACTCCAACTATTCAATCTCATCGGTGAAAGCTTCGTCAACCCATTTGAAGACATGATAGTCGTTCTCGAGCTACAACATTCCAACATTTTGTTCAAATTATTTAAGAGAACAACCCTTCGATAACTAAAGCTAAACGGACGTTACCCTCTGTTTTACGCATCGAGACATCGATAATACCGGCGATATGGATTTGGACCGGATTTGGAGATGAGCTCGGTGATGCTCTCCTGCACAACAACCTCTTAGGTATCCCCGGAATTCTTACTTGTCGTCTCTGACCACCGGTCGTGGAAGATGAAGCGGACGTAATTGGGTTCGACATTGGGGGATTTTGGTTGAGAGAGAGAGAGAGAGAAAGAAGATAGATAAAGGGAAGAAAGAGAAAGTGAAATCTAGAGAATGTGGGAAAACAAAAAAGTAAGGGTTTTAGTACTAATTTTTTGATGAAATTTCAAATTTATTCATCCTTTTAGGGAATAATCATGTACAAAGAATAATATGACTACTTATCTATGCTAGGACAACGGTGTAATCGGAAAATAATGAAAAAATGAAGAAAAATCAAATCTGCATAGTGTGAATAAACCATCTCTGAAGTAGACCTGCATTCTTGTGATCACCTTTGTACTTGAGCGATGAGATACGGTTCCTCAACGTCTTGTCTATCATCTTACTCAATGCTTCAGTTGTTGTCCAGCTGGTGTGGTGTCTCCTAGCATTGCGTTCTCTCCACAAGTGATAGATAACACTTTGGAATAGCAGTTTGATGAGGATCGCATCAAGGCTAGTAAACATGTGGTCCTGGATATGGCTCAAGGTTATGCTTCAGTCCGGGTCAATATGTGAACCCAGAAGTCGATGTGCTAACCCTTACCACACTGTAAATGAGTAGGGACATGCGAAGAACAAATAATCTCTTGTCTCATCTCTTTCCCCACATGAGGTACATCCCTGAACCATTCCCCATGAGCGCATCCGATCTCCTGTCGCCAGCCTGTTCTTGACAGCCAACCAGGTGATGAAGGAGTAACGAGGGATTCCCTGAGCGAACCAAACAACTTTACTCCACCCTACTTTTCCTCTCTTTACCCGAATTTGTTCCCAAAGGTGCTATGTGAATGTCAAAATAAGGTACTATCTGATCCCAGTCCAGAGAACCTTGCACAGGAAACAGTTGCTTCTGCTAAGTGGAATACGTTTTTATACTAATTGGATTGGGAAAGGGGGGGAAGAGTGAGATTAGAAATTCGAAAAGGTGGTGGGAGGGAAATTTTTTAGCCTAGTATTTTTGTGATTGAAGTTTCACCAAATTTGTAGTTTCAGAAAACATCAAAGTTGTACTTTATAATTTTTTTCCATTTATCTTGGTTTTACTCTATTACAATGACTGATTTTATTGTTATACCAGTTATGTTCTGTATACTAGATTCATTTTTCATTTGTCCATGTATACATAAACTCGATTTCACTACATAGTAAATTTTCAAATGAGACAAGGTGAACATTAACGGAAAAAATATAAGAAGACAGTGTAATGACATCATGATTACTAATAACCAACGAGATTTTTTTTTTTGTTCGGATAAAATCATAATCAACACAACCCAAAATAGTTATCAGCTTGGATTCGCGACGTTCTATCTTTTCTTTTTCTTATGATTACAGTTGTTAATTATCCAATTCCATAATAGACAGACCATTCACACATTCTGATCCTCAATTACTCTAGTCCAATTAGAATTGTAATTTGGGATCTCTGTAAATCTATCGTGTATGGTGGATTCTAAACATTGGGTTACGACGAGTTAGGAATGATTTAAGATACATACCTTTCAATGGAATCAATACCTCAATGATTCAGCATCTAAGCGGACAAATTTAACCGAGCTAAGCGATGATAACGACGAAGAAGAAGACGAAATAAACGAATTTCGTGGATGAGAGAGAAAAAACAGATCACTCCCGATTTGGAAATAAAAATAATTGAGAGGATTCTAGATTTTGACAAATTTTGATTGGTCATTAATTCGGTCAAGTAGGGAGGGGCACTTTCGACATTAACCACCCATATGGAGAGTATGAGAATAGAGAGTAGTATGTGAGAATGAGTAAGAGTATGTCAGAATGAATTTTGCCTCATTAAGAGCATTCCAGCATTTCACCCTACTTTTTTCTTTCTTCTCTAGGTAAGAATCCACGAAAGGCTATATTTGAGAAAAAGTATAATTAGATCAATTTTAGTTAGCAATATTTATCAAGTGGTGGCTTTTAAGGAGCCACGATACTCCTTCAAAAATATTTAACTGTATAGATAGGGTTTAAATGGTAAGGACATGTGCAGCGGTATATTTTTAAGGGAGTTTCTTTTTTTTTTGGTCAAACCATCTTCATTCAAACTTCAGCAACAGAGTTTACAACAGAGCAGTCAAAACCACTTGGGTTGCTCGAAGCTAAGAACAAAGTGTTTTTGCGATACGATCGGCTGTAACATTGCAATTCCGAGGAATAATTCTAAAGGAAATAGAGTTAAAGGAACCACTCAACATGCCGAGTTCATGGAGTAATCCCTGCAGAGCAATCACAGTTTTCTTCTTGTGAGGAGGTCAATAAAATATTTAGAATCTGAGAAACAGAATATGTCTGTTAGGCCAAAAGAGACAGCTTCAGAAAGAGCTAATTTTATAGCCAAAGCTTCTGCAACTAGAGCTGAAGCAACAATACGGCGAGCACCGGTTCCATTGAAGAGAACAGAGCCATCAGAGTTTGTACTTAACCAGCCTAGTCCAGCCGCCAGAAAAGAGTTGTTCCATGCTGCATCCGAGAACAAGGCTGAGGCGCTGGCTGGAATCAAAGGTAGTGTGTTCATCTGTGGATAGTCTTTAGGTGAAGCAGAGTTAAATATCTTAGATGATGGTATATTTTCCGACTGCCATTCAATGGCCGCCTTTGTTGACTTGAGCATCATCTCCGCTTCCGAAAAAGACTTATCTTCGAATATCAACTGATTCCTGCTAGTCGACAAAACCCAAAGAATCCATGGATATAAGGAAGTAGACAGACATGTAGGAGGTAAGTTATTAATCAATATTAGAGACCGAGTTAAAGCTAGGAGGCATCAAGACTGGCGCTAGTTTCCAAACTCTTTGTACAAAGGGGCAGGATACCATAACATGATGAATTGATTATCTCTCTCCACACCTTTTACATTTTCCGTCCACCTGAATTCCCCGTTTGATCAAAGTCTCACCCACTGCCAGCGCATTGGATTTTAACTTCCATAGAAAGTGTTGAATTTTAGGTGAGAACTTGACACTCAACACATATTTTTTTTCCAATTAAAGGGGCCTTGGTTATTGTTGTTATTAACCTTAGCCAGCGCATATCCTGATCTTGTTGCATAGTTCCCCGACTTCTCCAACAACCATACGCGATCATCAGGCAAAGCCATACAACTAGGTACCAATTTCAAAATGTGATCCTCATACTGAGGTAAGTGGAGCTTGATTTGATCTACATCCCATTCAGAAGAGTTAGGATGAAAATTTTCTTTTACCTTCATACTTTGAGCTCCATTAGTGGGTGGTCCAATAGTGCAAATCTTCTCCTCCATCGAGAGCCAGTTATCACTCCAAACCTGAATAGATTCTGCATCCCCTACGATCCAACCCATTCCTTTTTTGATGATCTCGCTTCCCACCAAAATTACTCTCCAGCCATGAGTGGAGGATTTTGGCACAGAGACAGTGAGCAAATCTTCAAAACGACAATATTTATTCAGTAGGGTTTTCCCAGAAGAGATAAAGGGTCTTTTAGTAGTCTCCAAGTGTCTTTGGCCAGAAGAGCGTCGATGATTACATTATATCTCTAAATCCAAGTCCTCCTGCATTCTTTGGGAGTGTAAGATTATTCCACAAGATCCAACACATCTTTGTAATAGCCGGTTTAACATCCCACCAAAATCTCGTCAAAACCGATTGAATCTGTTTACATAGCGAATTGGGGAGCTTGAAGCACGACATAGCATAGTTAGGCATCACTGCCAGCCCCGACTTTAAAATGACCATATTTACAGCTCCTGATAGGTATATTGATGTCCATCCTTGAGATTTCTGTCTAATACAATCAATAATGCTAGAGGAGATGTCTCTGTTTTTCCTTTCAAAGTGCTCCGGTAAGCCAAGGTGCTTCCTCGTTTATGTTAAGTTCTGCTTTCACTCTTGCTTTACATTCCTGACTGGTTTTAGACGAAAAAGTTACAGCAGATTTTCCTTGGCCGGAAGCCATCTCATATTTCTGTTTTGGGCTTAGAGGCATATATTAGATATGTCATAAAATGTTGTCTGAAAACCAAAAAT